CTGTCTTTAAGACGAAGTTGCGTCCGCGCTTTATCGGACACTTTACGGTCGTGTCCAAGAAAGGCTTAGCGTATACGCTTAATCTGCCGCGCAAATTGCGTACGCACCCCGTGTTATACGTCGGCATGCTCAAGCCATATCGGTATCCGTCCCAAGTGAACGCTAAGGCGCTCGCGCCGAGCTCATCGGCACTGCCGCAGGACGGATAATTTAAACCAAGAGGTCAAGCTGTCTCTCTACTCGGTTCCAACTCTGCTCTACCGATTTGAGGCGAGTATGCATCGACTGCACAGTCTCACGGAGAGACCGCACCTCTTCAAATAGCTCGGCATGAGCTTGAGTCGGTACACCGGCCTCCTCCGGCTTTGCTTGATGGACAGGGAAACCTTCAGTTCCATGTAAAAAGTCTTCTGCAGAAACGTCGCCGCATGGTCAAAACCAGCATCTGGTGAAGTGGCGGGGATATCCTGAGTCGTGGAACTCATGGGAGTTCGAGGTTCCCCTTCGTCAGGATTGCCCATTTGCCGTGGACTTTATAGAGCGTCGTGCGCAAGGCCAACCTGTTGGCGATGACGCTTCTCACCAGTAGTGTTGAGGATAGGCGAGTTAGTGGCCTCGGCCTGTCGTGAGCTCGCGGCTACAGGTGTAGCCGAATCGCTGGAGTGCTGGGTAGCAGACGCATATTGCGTTCGTTGAGACTTCAACATTTTTGGGCCTTCTGTTTAGCGTAATCGTAACGCATTTTTCGTTCGAGACGAACATCTGCCACGTCGGCACTTTCCCGTAGAGCCCACATGCTGCTTAAACGTCGCGCATATGCGCCCAGCGGTTAAAAGCCGTGTCTTGTTCTTCCTCGGTTTCCCCCGCGAACAGAAGGATGGGAACGCCCTTTATGGGAGGAACTGGCGCACCGCGCACTTGCCTGTTGAGGCGTTCCAGGTATTGGATTTGCGTAGTGATATGAGGTTCCAGATAGCGTTGACGAAGGGACGTTCGCGTAGCAGCATCCTCGGGTGAAATGGCCTCAGGCCCAATGGCCCAGCCAGAGAGGGAATGACCAGATGCCTTCTTAAGGCGTTATTCCACTGTAGGTGGTTTGAACCTATACTGTCGGTGGTCCTGAAGTCTCGCCATGTTCTTCGTCCGGCGCTTGGCACCTTCCTCTTGGTCGATGGTCTGCTGTTGCTGCTCGTCGAGTGGGTTAGTAACCGTCGCTGCTGACGATAGTTCAGGCGGGTACCGTAACGCTGTTAGCGCATCTGCAGCACCACGTCCTGGAAACAAATTTGGTGCATTATTACTGTCATGTTCACCCGTAAGGGTGGTTAAAGGGGACCCATCGGGTTCCACAAAGACGGTGTCACATTCGTAATCAACCGCTTCGTCAAGGTCGCCTTCGATGAGGTCCCGTAAAGTCTGTGAATCATTGCCAAGAGGCGTCATGTTATGTGCCGTGAACAAACCGTGAGGTTTAAACGTTCGCTAAAGCACTACCTCAGAGAGGAAAGATGTCGGATGACATTCTATGGGAACGTCAGTCTGGTGGGGGAGAGTGTAACGGGGTTACACGACGGTTGTAGCGTCTTTCCGAAAGTTTACGGTTGAATTTTCCTTTTATTGCATATAATGCATTATTATACTTCTCTTTAGAGAGGTTTTGAGTTTGAGCGTTAAGATACGATATTCGGTAATACCGTATCCTATCGATTAGAATTCGATGATCGATAACGCTGTACGAAGTACATCATACACAGATATTTAGACGATACATCGTCCAATAGCAAAAGTCTTCATATTATAATTACTATATAGTAAGTAATCTAGTGTAGGGCACTTAGAGTAGGACTTTTCATAAAATCTTAATGCATAAATAAAATCAGTTCTCATTTTGAGTTTAAGATCGCAAGTCGTTCTGACTTGTTCTCTTGTGCACTTCGTGCGTTGGTTCTCTGAACCTTAAGCTTCTAGCTTGCTCTTGCACTCTGTGCGTTGGTTCTCTGAACCTTAAGCTTATTGCTTGCAGACTAAAAGTCCCTCCTCGTTCCTTAGAACAGGGTGACTTTAGGTCGTTTAATTAGTTCTTTAGAACTAAGTGGCTTTTAGCCTCAACTCTATTTAGCTCTCTAGAGCTAAGAGGCCCAGCCTAAAGTCTTCCTCTGGCTAAAGAGCTGTGCAGCTCCGCTACACGTAGCGTTGGATGCTCGATGAAATGATTGTTGCAGCTGACCATGAAGTAATTTTCTATCCAGAATGTTTGTAGGAACTTACTTCACCGAGAACTTCCGTGGTGCGACAAAGCGGTATATGCGCATTATTTGCGATCATTCGTGGGCAGGCTTGCAGCGAACAGTCTCGCTTGTATTAGCTTACATCAGCGTTGAGCAAATCTGTCGGTATGCGCGGAAAGCACACCGATGCATGGATGTTTATTGGAAAGGTCTGCGTGGAAAACAGGCCGAGTACGCAGTGCTTAGATATCGGTCCCATGGTCATGTGTCGAATTCGGTCTATAGGACATCAATGCCCTTCTTATAGAAGCTCTAGGGCTGATGTTTGACACGACTCCATGGCAAGCAAGCGTTTCTATTGGTTGATACCACTTATTTTGGATCAATTTTTAATCAATATTAATTAACTTAATCATTAATAAGATGCGGCTATTTCTTGTCCACGATAAATTGCATATTCTTTTTAAACTTTAACATCTTATAGCTCAGTCTGAAAAAGAAAGGGAGAATCCGAGACCCAGGAGTGGGCTGCTATCTCCCTCTTTTCATGCTACATTGGCAGAGTTAAGTCATTGTGAATGTAGCAGAGCTACACAGCTCTTTAGTCAAAGAAAAACGTTAAAGGCTAAAAGCCACTTAGTTTAATGGAACTAATTAAACGACTAAAATGTCTACCCGTTCCACTGTGAGGGACTTGTTCAGTCTACGAGATTATGCTTACAAGCTTAACAAGCTTGCGGTTCGAAAAGCCAAACGCACAAGGTGCATTAGAAAGCAAGTCTTATAGACTTGGCTTCTATAACTCATAATGAGAGCTGATTTCATTTATGCATTATGGTATCAAAAAAAACATACCTAAGTACCATACACTAGATTACCTACTACAGTATAGCAGTAGTTATAATATGCAGACTTTGTTATTGCACGACGTATCGTCCAAACATCTGTGTACGATGCACTTCGTACAGCGATATCGATCATCGAATCCTAACCGATATGAGACGGTATTACCGAATACCGTATCTTGACGCTCATATAGAATACCTTCCTAAAGGGAAGTATCCGAGAGGGTAGTATCCTAAAGGAAAGTAATAAGAATACATCTATGCAATATACATAGAATTACAAACATTACAAAATTCTGGATATAATTATCCAGCGATCCTGTAACCCCGCTACAGTGAATGCCAAAAGATCCTTAGAAATTCTAGTTTATATGAGATTTAGTTGATTGTTATAAGTGTCTTGTATGAAACGTTACGCCCATTGTTATAACGTGGCAAGTGTTTGGTTATCTACTGGAGTAAAAACAGGCACGTGTGTGGGTCCGAAAGTACCTGTAGCTCCGAAAGTTTCCGTTAATCACAAATTGGGGGAACTTTCAGAGCCACAGGTGCCTTTTTTACTCCGTTGATTACCAGTAGATTACCACTTTACCGTCGTGAGCTTTCCGGATGATCTCCATAACTTCCTGAGAAAATTCGAAGCGCACGATTGCGAAGAACAGGCATTCCCTGTCATACGCTTTTAGCAGGAGAATGGCCGAACTCTAGCCCGGGAAAGTCGTTTTCGACTAGAACGGCTACTAAGGATAGTGGTTTACTTCAAGCTAGACATCTCCTAAGCTAAGCATCTTCAAGGCTACTCGCTACGCGTACTAGCATACTGGCCTTCTATCACTTCTATCCTACAACCTAGTTTTCTCTATATCGCGATGCCGAGATGACAATGGGGTATTTTTGCTCTCGATGATTATTACAAAGCTGCGCAGGGTTCTGCCGATCATATCTTGTCCCAAATGCATTGACGAGGATTTTATGTGAGAGTCTGTTCGGTGGATGACAACATCGAAATCATTTGTAGAGCACGAGACTTTCTCAGATGAATAGTAAGATTCTTGTATAACTTGTGCGTAAGATAAGAATCCTATACAATGAGCATTGGGATCCGTGAAAACCAACTGAGTCGAAACCGTAATCGGAACACACGATTTAGCGATAGAGCAATCAATGCCAAAAGCGCAAGTCTCAGACAAGAGGGCTGCTACAGCCCTCTGGTTTTACTCGTGATGATAAACTGAACGTCATTTTAAGTGCTTGTGACTATCTTCGATAGCAGTATGCTTCTACCAAGATTATATCATTCTTCTTCTACCTGGCTCATTCTGCTGACTCATTCTGTTGGCTCGAGACGTCGGGCTTTACAGGGGACACTCCGCAAAAGACACTTGTAATCGGTGGTCCATCCCAGGGTGCATGCAGGGCGTTGATGTCGCGGCAAGCGCCGGTTACCACCCGACTGACCGCTGACGCATCTGAGTGGGCCGATAGCCTCACGTTCTTCGCAAGTTCGCTTCGTGGGACCGGGATTTGCGCTAAGCGAACGAGTAGGCGACAAGAAGGCAAACGTAGAATTGCAGAAAATAGATGAGGGGTGACGTTTTTGGACGTCGTGCCCCCATCCCGGGGTTCTTGGTTGTTGCTCCCTTGCAGTTCGCATGCTGCGTTGCCTTTCGTAGCAAATGCAGCGAAAAGTAGGCATCCCCCTATTACCTGGAGCCCCACTTTTGGGGGACTTCCCATCCAAGGAAAGGAGACAGGTGACCCGGCTATTAAAAAGTCTTTGTCTCGTAGCCGTTGTCGCTCGAAAGCCAAAATTTGGAGGTGCTGGATTCACTTTTGCAACAGCGCCAGAGTCCCGATTTCAAATAGCTGTGAAAGTCGAGTTCGGTCCGCCTGGAGGGTTAAGTATTCGAAGTTCTGCGGCGAAAAGATGGAGTTCACTCCGTCAAGTAGTAGCTTAAGCCACGTCTGGTTAGTGCCATCGCCTTTAACTACCAGGACAGCACCAATTCAGAACATCTCAAGCCTCCAACCAACTCGGAGACTCTACGCCAACATTCTCGTGGCAGTTTTACAAGCGGTGCAATTCGGATGGTCCACTTCGCAAATGAACAACTCAATTTTCAATAACGAACAGGATTGCATCGCAAGACCCGTCGTACCCGGCACGTGCCTCATGTTCCCCGGACATACTAAGACAGAGTGGACTATTGCCGTCAGCTCCTGGATCGTAGGTGGTATGATCGGCAGTCTTTTGACCGGACGTGCCTCCAACAAGTTTGGACGAAAGCCTACCATGATGGCAAACTGCCTTTTCATGCTTGCAGGTGGAGTCGTGCAGGCATCTTCCAGCACCATTACTATATTCACCGTTGGGCGTGTCTTCGCAGGCATTGCAGCTGGTGGTTCGACCGCTGTTATCCCTGGATTTATCGGCGAAATCTGTCCGCCGCACCTCCGGAACAAGTTGGGTGTGTGTTTCCAGATTTCCATCACATTGGGTCATCTACTTGTTGCGATCACCTTCTTCTTCGCCAGCACTAGTACTGGTTGGAGGTATATCGCAGGATTCCCTATTGTACTGGCATTGCTTTTCTTGGGACTGGCACCTTTTGTTCTCGTGGAAAGCCCCGCGTGGTTGTTGATGGCAGGTCAGCCGGTGCTTGCCGAGCTAGCGCTGGCTCATCTCTATGGTTCGGAGAACGTGCATTTGATAAAGACCTGGATGGACCAGGACGAAGCGGCTCCTAGAGTGGGCATTGGTAGTGAGTATGTCATGCCGATGCAAGACTTGGCGATGTCGATGTCTCCAGAAACACCCAAGCAGCGCAACGTCACCCGACTGTTATCACCTGCACTCATTCGGCAGCTACTGGTAGCAATTGGCGTGGCTGGAACCCAGCAGCTCACGGGTGTTAATGCTGTCTTCTTTTACTCGTCTGGAATCTTCAAGCAGGCGGGACTCGCAGACGGCCGCATCGGTGTCTTGCTAGTCAATTTTGTGAATGTCCTACCGTCCTTGTTTTGCGGGCTGCTAGCTGCGCGTGTGGGTAATCGCATGCTCATCTTGTGCGGATTGGTGGGAATGTTTTGTAGCGCAGTCGGCATGACGGCTGCACTGGTTGGCCATGTGCCTGCGCTTGCTATCGTCTTTACAGCACTCTACGTTACAACGTTCAGTTCAAGTCTCGGACCGTTGGCATGGGGAGTCATGGCGGACCTTTTTCCGGACGATGTTCGAGCCATGGGATGTTCCATTTGTGTAGGTTGTAGCTGGCTGTGTAGCCTTGCCGTGGGTCTATGCTATCCGTATGTTGCCGCTGTTTTCGGCATCTATAGCTTCGTGCCTTTCATGTGTACCGTTACGATCGCGTTCCTCTTTGTACAAAATTTCGTGCCGGAGACGTATGGTAAGACCATACAAGAGATTCAAGATGAGTTTGACGCGCTACGATGTAAGAAAAGCCGAGATCATATTAACCAGATTGCCGTACTAGAATAAACTTCTTAGTAGAAGTACGACGGATTGAATACTTGCCAGTTTGATTGCTATTCCATTCCTAATGTTCATATCCATATCCATATCGTTTTCTAACGGTACAACACACACTATTCTTGTGGTATCCTAATCACAACACATTGCAGAAGATACCCCATTACAAGAATTGACTTATCGGCTAGTGTCAATGACGTCCTCACACGTGCCTCATGTTTCCTTGTCACTCGAAACTGGAGTAAACATTCGCCGTGAACGTCTGGATCTTAGGCGCTGTGATCGGCTCGCTGTCCTACAGCCGCTTCAGCGCAAACAGACTTTGATGTTAAATTGCATCTTTATGATTATGGATGATATCGTGCAGGCGTCCGAGTATTCATCGGGTGGGATGAATGGGGTTGGCCACATTCATTACAATCTAAGTTTAGATGATCACATCATTCTTGCAGCACACACAATTTGAATTGTCATACTCTTGCGTGTATTAAGCAAGCACTGACGCGAATGTACGATATCAATTGCGATGCAAAAATGTTGCGCGCGACGCAGACCGACCTCTCAAGCCAATATTTAAAGTTTCAGAGCTGTTCCCAGCGGATTGTGGTGTGATGGCGGATCACTGAGCCGTATTCAATAGAAACTGCGATTTCGATCGCTCCACCCAGACATCGTCAATATGGCAATGATCTCGAGCTTAAATGTGTAATGGATGCGGTCAATCCAATCCAGCCTTGTAACGATAGTGTATGGTTTCCTGCATGACGTTAAGGATTCTTGTGGCGAGGAACGACGGGTACTCCTGGTCGCGAAAGGGCCCTTGAAAGCAGTGAAGGAGGCAGAGAAAAGCAAGGAAATGCAGACCTAAATCGAGTTAACAAGATGTGGATCTCATGCGAGAACTGGGTTGGTCGATTGGACAAACTCAAGGATTCACTGACGGAGCCTCGCAAGAAAGTGGTGATGGAAATGAAGAAACTGGGGGATCATTCGATGACCCTACAAGTTTGTTGGAATCAGCCCTTGAACAAGGCGCAAGAAAAAATATCAGGACTCCTTGTCTGATCAAAGAAGATACCAAGGTGCGGTGCCTCGAGGGTTAGTGCCGATCGCCAGTTTTTATATCAACGTCGCGACTATGGCAACGAGAATGTGCTGCCGATGCGGCCGATGGAGATTTGCGTGAGGAACAAGTACAAGGTAGCGAGCCAATTATATAACGCACTTGGACCTACGATGTATAGCGCCAGAGTGGGCTTCTGATATCCAGTAGAAATTAATATTTTGATGATTCGATGGGGCAGAATTGTACCAAAGGCTAGAATCAGTTTTTGGAGTGGGGACGGCTTTTAACATGCAAGTTGTCGGGGCTCAGTCGAATTGCGATTCTACTGGTCGGAAAATGTCAAGGGGGATTCACTTGGTCAATGGCTGAATAGTATGATTGAGATTTAGTTTAATTGACAAGTTGAAGCATGGTGGAGTCAGACTACAACGCTTTGGTTTGCTATGGATTGTACTCACGACCACTGGCATACGCAGTCCAATGATCCATGAAAATCGTGGATTGTACTTGTAATGTAAGTAGACGCTGTCACTGAAGCATGACAGTGGAGAATCGAATTATTTGGTCCTCAACAATAGTCCAATATGCAACATGAGATTATGCAAGTGAGGTTTAGTAGACAATTGAGCAGAGGCAGAGCGATTGTGACTTAGCTAAAATACATCCCTACTTTAATTAAGTAAGCTCTATGTTAAAGCTAACCTTCTTCTAAAGTATCCATAATTACTTTTGACCTTTCACTTGGGTGCGATACACAAAGGTGATCCACCCCCGTGAATGTGATATCCATTAATGGATTCACATGAGAAGGGATGACGCTAGTTGAAGCTAGGCATCAAGACGTCCCAGAAGGACGTCAGTTGCGATCTTAAATCTAGATTCAAGTTCATGCGACAGGATACGCTTCTAAAGAGTCGCGTATTCGATCTATATACATATATAGCCAATCAGTAGTTAAGTATATATTTAGTTATAATTCATTAAATATAGCTCAGTCTTGAATTTGCTAAATCCAAAGCACCGCGCACGAGAAGCTAAAAAGCTTCTACTTGACGTCGGTGCCTTCTTGTCTTAGAAGTTCGTTGCAATATCGCTTAAGCGAGAGACAACTGGTGGTACGACTGATTAATCAGTTGACCAACCTCCTAACCACCCTCGCACGCGAAGGTAAGACGGTCTGACCGCTTCCTCGCTTGTGCGTAAGGTGTGTGCCCGTCTACACTTGGTAGCACTAGTAGTCCTTCCCACGACCCGTCTCTCTGATCGTGCGTGTGGTTGACATGGTCCTTAATATGAAATGGAGTGCCTTCCTTCACCTCTCCCAACATCATAGGAGTTGGCAGAGCATATGGCGCAGGGACTTGGCGAACAAGCCCTGGTCAACCTCTTGCATTGTTCTCCTGAGCAACATGTTGCTCAGTTGGAGCAATTTGGGGCGTTTGTGCTCGGACAGCGTAGAAACGCGTCCGAGGTAAACAGCCAAGCCACCGCCGAGTCCATCAATAAGACTCAGGATGAGCTTAGGCTTGAGCAGGCACGTAATGAGGCGCTCAACAGAACTTTTGAGACGCCCTCTGCCCGGCCTGCTCAACCGAGGCCCATTCGGATGGACCCTCCGAAGTTCTATGGAACTACCCTCACACGATTGTTCACTGGCTATTAGCAGTTGAGCAATGTGGAGTGGCTCCGCTCATCGAAGACGACACCAGAATGGTGTCGTATGCCATGTCAAGTTTGCGTGGCAAAGCGTCAGAGTGGGCATACTCTTCGCTAATGGAAAATGCTGATGCGTTTCTATCATGGACTATCTTTCAAAACAAAGATTTGCACCATGTATCAGCCGCCTAACAACGAAGTGTTGCTTATGACGCGCTTCTTTGAAGCACGACAGGCGAAACGCTCTCTGCAAGAATTTGTGCAGGAGATGCGTTCGCTGTCGGCGTCCAATAATGGGGAACCGATACCGGAACGTATTAAGGTGACCACGTTCATGAATGGTCTACGGCACGGCCTATCGCGTCAGGACCTTTTCAGAAAGGTGCCGGCGACGATGGAAGAGGCAATTGACATTGCCTTAGTTGAGGAGCAATCCTACAACAGCGCCTCGGCGACAGCCTACTACAGGCGTCGTCCGAGAGGTCTGATGCCACTCCTATGGAGTTAGGCAATGCAGATGTGATCTGCTACAAGTGCGGCAAGCGAGGCCATATGATGGCTCGCTGCTATGCCAAAGTAGCTGCTGGTGCTAAGGCAGCCAGCAAAAGGTCTCCCAACCCGAAGGATGGTTCGAAGAACCGTGCACGTCGCACGGGCTCAGATTTGGCCTCCGACAGTCGGGAAATGCAGGAGCGCAGTAGGGGCGGGATGCCCTACTGTCGCGGACTCTGAAGCTACCCCTAAGTAGAGAGGGATCGAACAAATGGGTAGCATAGTCCCTGAGGTTCCGAAAGGTCGGACCTCAACCCTTTTGGTCTATAGCGCTCGAGAACGAGGCTTTGACCAAGTGATGACCCTTCTCGTGAATTTGGGTGCATCACAGAATTTTGTGAAATTCGCGGTTCTGAAAAAGTGTCCGGCAAGTTATGAGTCGCTTTGCCAGGATGGCAAGCGAGAAGAGATGATCGTTTGAATAGCGAACGTTGCTGTGTAATAGTCGATTAGGGGATTTGGCTAAGTCCATGTAACAATTTGCTCGATAAATCCGGAGCCGAGTTATTGGGACTTTTCTCGCCAACGGTTGAATTCCTTTCCCATAACGGTCGGATCTCTTTCTCATAACGGTCGGTTTCCTTTCTCATAACGGTTGGATCCCTTTTCCTCATTAAGTCACTTACTAGAATGACTTATTGGGTTTGATGAAGTCGATCTCAATTCATGGACGATCGAATGGAAAAGTACCATTGAATCAATATCGTTTATTTGCTTGTTTGATAAAACGAATGAAGAAGGGATCAATGGTATCGAAGACGATGATGATATGGATTGATATATACTTAAGGTGAAGATACATGTCATGGATCAAATTTCTGAATTATATTGGATTATACTGGATTCCAGTATCGGTTGATCCAATTAGATGGATTGATTTTGAGAGGATTATACGTGAATGTGGAATAGTGGAATTTCGCAAAGTGTAAATTGCGAGTACTTTCCACATCGGTGCCGCTTGACGGCATACAGTCAGACCACAAAGGATTTTTGCTTAGATTTAGAGACCCGGACCACCCAAATATAGTACACAAGCCGCCCAAGTATACCGGGGTCCATCGTATGCGCGTCAGCAAGCTCGCAAATTTATCGTTTGTAAATAGAACGTGTTTGCCGCTGATATGGAGGATAAATTTAATAAAAGGAGAAGATATATCGGAACGATGGAACCGTTTGAAAATGTAAATTGTGGTTGGAATAACCCGGCTAAAATGCACCATTCGCCACGCTAGAACGAGCACGTATCAACGCAAGCTCCGAAGAAGGTATCACAAGTTACATCAGCTTCAGCAGCTACGAAATCAGCCCGACGAGGGCAATCGGACATTATTCGCCTTCGACCTCATAACGACTTAATGCAACGACATTACGCGCAAAATTTCGAATCTGAAACGGGAACGTATTCGATATAAAACATCTCTACTATTTCAGTCGCATGCGTGGCGTCCCGGACAAACTACGAGGGAACTTTTCTGGCGAATATCGACAAAATTTGACGACCATGTTTTTCCAACACTCCGGGGCAACGATGGTAGGGCTGTTGCTACAGCACAGGAAAAAGAAAATACAATGGCTGCAGCTTGGAAACCAATTATGATTAAGGTCTCGCTGTGGAGACCCGTATGGACAACGTTATTGAGTGGATGCCTCAGGCGAGGTAAATGCCTACAGAGTTGTTTGATACACTATGCTGATAACGGAGGACACAGTAGCCCAGGCAATTTGCGCCTGCAAACCGGGAAAAGATTGTGGCTCGTACCAACTGGGCAACGATTTGTTTCGAGATTATATAATCGAAATGACTTTGATCCTTACTACACTATATTGCCAGTGGTATGCGCAATAACTATCTCCGGCATCGTTCACTGAGGCCAATTTTATTTGTTTAAAGAAGTCTGAAGATTAATGGAATTCGCTCAATTACCGACCACTGGCTCTCCTCACTTTGAATTATAAAGTTATCATGCGAATTGTCGCAATGGCTATACGAAAGGTGTTGAACGATCGACTTAATAAAATCCAATCTGGGTTTGTCCCGGGACGCACGATTCACACCACTCTGGACTGCTATGCTTTGGCACGACATATGGCGCTATACAGGCCGGAAGCGCGTAACGCGTTGGCCTTACTGTTAATTTTTTATAAGGCTTATGACAGCCTTGACCGAAATTTCATGGTAAAGGGACTTAAGT